TGCAGGTGGGCAGGGCGCGCCGGGGCGGGGCGGCCCGCTGGCTCGTGCGCGCTTTGGAGGCAGCCGATCTGGTGGCTGAGGTGCTCTGGAGGCAGTGTAGACTGATGGTTAACACACTGGCGCGAGTGTGGACGAGTTTGGAGGCAGCAGGGCGTGGTCCTGAAGGGGGTTCAGAGGCAGGGTGTTTAGTGGTTAGTGCGCTTTGGAGGGAGTGTGGACTAGTAGTTAGCACACTTTGGAGGCAGCGTAACTTCGTAGTTCACGTGAACAATTAAATCCTTATTTTGGTCCTACTGTCTTGGGGAATTTAAGGAACCGACAGTGGAGCAGGGGGTTGGCGGGGAGCTCTGCAAAACTGAGGGGCTCACGGCCTCCAGCAAACCTCACCTGGCATGTGATGGCAGATGAGCAGGACCCTGAAGCGGGCAGCGAGGTCAGGTGAGGTGCAGAAAGCTAGTGAACCAGAGGCAGGGCCTGTCCGTGGTGTTTCTTTAAAAGTCAGAACTTAAAATGAAAAGGAAGTTGGAAACGCCCTTCTCTTGGAGATAACTATGATGGCTAATGGCCCTCGTTTATGGGCTACCCACTGTGTGCAAAGTTTATGTTCATATTACCTTAATTTTCATTTAAAAATTTTTAATTCCCCTTGAAGTTGGTGTCATATACCTATTTTATAGACAAGGAAGTTGGGGACCAGAGAGCTGATATGACTTGCCCAAGGTGCCCATCTTCCACTCTTGGCAGCAGAGGCTTATGCTGAGAGGGGGCATGTTGAGGGGGTGGATTTGTAGAAGTAGATCCTAGCCTGGGAGTGCCCAGCATCTGTCTGCAGACACAGCCCCTGCCCCCCTGGCCTCAGGATCCCCCTGCAGGATGAGCTCACTTAGGCAGTGCCCTTGGTCTTGGGCACCCAGCACTGGTGTGTGCTCTCTTTCAGTTCTGTGAGATCCTGTCCACCCCGGAGGTGAGCCGCTGGGCGGGTCCCATCATCGATGTGCTCCTGGACTACGTAGGAAACGTGCAGCTGTGCTCACGGCTGAAGGAGCACATTGACAGCTTCGAGGACTGGGCCGTCATCAAGGAGAAGGCAGGTAGGGTTGCTGCTGCTGCTGGCAGATTCCCCTGCCTGACTCAGAGGCCCAGGCCTCAGGGAATATGACTGTTACTAACACGGATGAGCAGCTGCTCTGTGCCAGGCTCTGTTCTGTGTGCCCCATTCAGTGTGGCTGGGACATCTTGGATTATAAATGAGGAAACTGCCCCTAAGAGATATTATGTCACCTAGGCCAAAGTCACACAGCTAGTTATTCAAACCCAGGCTTGTCCCTCCCCAGAGTCCCTCTACTAAATCTTTCCATGATGTTTCAGACAGTTCCAGCTCCCTGAGGGGTATCGGATCCTTTGGAGTGTGTTGCCCATGTTTGGGGGCAGTGTGGTGGGCCACAGGAGAGAATGTGGACTAGGGTAAATTGTAAAGTACAAACGAAGCACCTGGGCATCTTGCTAAAAGTGCAGCTTCTGATTCTGCAGGTCTGAGGTAGAGCCTGAGAGTCTGCATTTCAACAGGCTCCCAAGTGGCACCAAATGCTGCTGGTCCACAGACCACCATTGGAGCAGTACTGGTCTAAGAGACAGGCCCCCTGAACTCTGGAGCCAACCTTGCCAGGGACTTGCTGGGAGACCGTGGGCATGCCCC